CTTTGAAACAAGTCTTGCCTTTTTATTGAAAATTTGAACCACCATTTAAATGTGGAGAAAAAAATGCTGTCTGTTTTGATAAACTTAAAATTTACAGTATGTGTGACAAAATATAGGTCTGCTTACTAGCATTTGGGAACTAAAGCTGCATCTCACACTCCAGAATGAACTTCCATGCTCTAAATTTAAAGACCTGTTGCAGTGTATAAGTGCAACGCTCTATTCCTTGGACTCCAGTGGGGAGCACTCCTAAACTGCACTGTTAATCTAATCTACCTTCAGTAAAGTGGGCTATTGCAGTTCTCTGCATTACTGCAAAATGGAAGTAAACTAGTTAACCATGATGATTGGCCAATCCTGACACCAAACTGTCTGAGAAGTACCGTGTGCAAGCATTTTTCAATTTGACGCCATGGATGGAAAATTTGTGGATATCTGTACGGCTGTTTGCTGACTTTCAGAATGCAGCTTCCTGACAGTAATGTTACCTGAACAAATCTGAAATCATCTGTTTGCTTGTCACTCAAATGAGGCAAAGGAAGAACCGCAAATAAACAGAAAAACATAAAATATTTGCCAGATTTCAGCCATTGCACACGTGGCTCATGATTTTTCATTTCCTTCTCGTTATTGCAGCTCTACCTATTCACAGCAGCCACCTTATTTTTTGTTAAATCTAGCTGGATGCAGTACTACCTGGGACTGTTGCTAGCTTTCTCCGATGGTGGCCAAATCCATTTTTTTCACCTATTTTAACCAATCTTGTATGTTCAAATATTAAGTTTTTATTGTTTCTCGTCTGATAGCAAAAAGAAATGGATCAAATGTATCTTTGGAATCTTATAGACTTGGCTAAGAAATGATGGAACAGTTCCTCTGCTTGAATCTAATGGCCTCGTGAGTCTAAATTTCAAGGTGTTGTTTTTCTCACACCATGTTCTCGCTGCAGTCCATACAGTGGTTATGTCAAAATAGACTACACAAGTTTAGGAGAAAAAAAAAGAAAGTGTTGCTTTTCCTCTGCACAGTCTGTGTGGGCTGTGCTGGCTGAAGTCAAAACAAACACAATTGTACCCATGGCCGGCAGTCAGGAAGAGGCAACAGCATCTGTCGAGGAAGGCTGTTATTTGTTTTCCTCAACTTTTCTGGTTTTTCTTTTCCCCAGGACAACTCTCCACCTGCTAAGAGTGAAATACATAACACAGAATGGAAAGCCAAAATGCCAGCTGTGACCCTATAGGGCTGTCTAATGTTTATCCCTGCCCAGTGCCCGTCAGCTGTCCAGTCGGTTCGGATGAACACGGTTAACAAGCACCTGTGTGTTTACTCCTCACCTCATCAACAGGGAGAAAGAAATGGTAGAAAACAAGGGCAGATGGGAATCGGCTAGCTAGCTAGCGAAGACTCTCGGGAGATCTCAGCGGGGTTCAATCAGGCTTTCTCTCAGCAAACAGCCTGGGATATTGACTATTCTTGCTCGGGTATTCATCTGTGATCATTTCTCTTATTTTGAAATTGATTGAAATGCAAGCACACAGGAGTCTAACCAAGTAATAGTGCCAGCGTGAACTTTGATGCACATAAATAAGTCAGTGAGCCTTTTTTTGTACTTGACTTCCCCTGAGCAGGCAATAAAATCAGCAAGGATTGCAAAGAATCTTGTTAGTTAGGAATAATTTTATTTCCTCAGATCACAGCAAACATTAGTGCTCCATAATGATTTGAGTGGTGCGATGGTGATGAGGGTGTTAAAGTTGGAGCACCAGTGGGTATTCTGGGTAGCTGTGTGTGATTATGTAAGTATAATGCAATGTAGAACAAGCTAGTTCAACACAGTTTTCTCCCCGCTTTACTTTGCTAATCTCACTTTTTTTTCCTTTTTTGAATGGATGGAGAATTTGATGTTTGATCCAAATACCACAGTTCATTTTTACCATGTATCGAGTCTGCAGGAACACTTGATCCAGCACCGTCTCAGCTTGTGAATAATTCCAGTTTTCTGCTTTCCTCTTTAGAATAAGAAATCATTTGGCCATCATTCTAAGCAGACATCCCAAAGACAGTAAATAATGCACTAATGTTGAGCTCCTCAGAGATGGAGACTATTAAATTAACTATTTTCTACACTGAATATTTGCTTTACTGACTGTATGCCTATCCAGCCCCTCAGTTTGTGGCCCTTGGCTAATTTCTTCTAGTCGGGTTTGGCTTGTGTTCCCATTATCATTTGTTCCTCAAGGTATGCAAGAAACAAATTACAGAGTAGCGCTTTTGCAAATGTGCGCCTTGTTTTTCATTAGTATGGCTAGACTAATACAGGGTTTACTGACCTGGGAACAGCAAGTGTACTCCATCGTGCGGGCACCTTTGAGCGGCAGCACTTCATTAGTTGAAGCAATTACTTTTGGGCAGTCAAGGTTTCACCTGGGCTCCAGGAGTGTGAGCGTGTTCATCAAATTGAGAGTATGAAGTCACACTGACCCCTCAGTGATTGTGAGGGACAGAAAACTTTTCTCTTGCAGTTTGCAAGAGCACTGGAGGATGAGAGTTCGCAATCATCATAATCAATCATTAGTTATTGGCACACTGTGCTGTTACTTGAAGATCTGGCCGTCATTTTCAAATCTCATTTAGTTTTCAAAACGGAAATTTCTCTTCACATGAATGTTAATCAAATGTAGCATTTTTTCTTAAATGGGAATGACAAATGATACATTGCAGAACTTTAATAGCCCTGCTTTAGCTTTAGTCTGAAAGAAGGAAGTTTCCAGTGACACATTTCCTGATAAACACAAAAATACAATACAGTGTGAGGCTTCCTTGTTTATTTCCTGTCTAAACACCCATCTCATCTGCATAATTATATCCTCCCAGTGCACCTTTGGTATTATTCTTTATTACCTAGCATAATAAACTCTTAGCCCCCTTGTTACCAAATTATATAGTTGCTATAAAACCCTACAGTCACTGCACTTAGCTGCTCCCCTCTTGTGACACATTTGGTTGATCATCAACAACATCATCAACATTTTCAGCCTGGTTCTGTCTCACGGTAAATAAATGCACGTCCCATGATCCCATCTGGTCTCTAACCTCTCTAATTGACACTTCACTTATTAAAAAATAAATAAATAGTTTTAGGACTAATTAGATCATGAATAATTTGTGCTAAGTCAACAGGTGACTAAATTTCAAAGTTTACCGGGAGACAACCCTACAAGACAAACGGCACGTGAATGGAAAAAACAAGGCCAGCCAAATGTAGGGCAACGTTCCTGTTTGCCCCCCTCGCCTCGTCAGGTGACTCAAACAAGGCTACAAGAAACAGACATATGTGTTCTGCTACAGGGCTAAGCTTAAGGGAACATGCTGTGTAATGTACACCACCTGTGTGCTTTCCTGGCTGTGGTATTACTGTGGCTACAGTCGCTACGACAGGCTCAGCACAGGTCATTTGCATACTTTATGACTCTAGGTAAAAAGGGACGGCAACCATGAGAGGTAGGCAGGGAGTGTGTGTGAGAGAGGGGGAGAGATAGAGGAAAAGATAGTAAAAGCGTGGCTTTTTGCGTGAGTCATAAGGGCTGGCAGTTAAAACTGGTCAAATTCATCTCTAGGCCATAAGATGAGCTGACAGGTGAAAGCCAAACATCTTGGAGGTAAGTTGTTTTTGACAGTTAGTTTTCTCTAACAGGACACATGTTTTGTAGCCAAGCCTCCTGTGATGCTGTCTTTTCTTCTGCTGTTGTTGTTGTTGTTTTTGTAGCTCGCTCTCCTACTCCTGAGGCTAGCTCCGGCTCAGGCCTGGGTATCTATACACTGGTCTCTGTTTTTTCCTCCGCCTGTCTTGTCTGCAGTGGCTCAAACAGAGTGCTCTGAGAACTGCTTATCGTATTTGAAAGCATTTATTAACCGCTCTCCGGGCCGGCTGCTTTTTAAAAATGGAAATACAGTAGGAGAGGAGGAATTAAAGGATTTCAGCAGATACCTTTGGTGCTATACAATAACAGAATAACAAAAATAAGCACTTATTGTTTTGTGTTTTGTTATAGTTATAAACCAAATATCCAGAAATCTGAACATGCTCATTTTGTAAGGGCTTGTTTGCTGAGTCAGAAGGGGAAAGACCTTTGGCCTTTGCTGAGCAACGTTAGGTAAATGCTAATGATTACCTGAGCCTAGACTGCTGTGTGGCCTACCTTTGTACTGTACACTGTGTGTGCAAAATAACGTCTACTTGAATGACATGTCTTAATGATTCATTAAGTGTCATGAGCATTTATCCGATCTTTTTTTATTCATCATTTTCATTTGTTTCTAATGAATGAGTAATTAGCTGCTAAAAGTGATTGACAGGTTGCCCCAGGAAGCACAGTTACCAGAGCTTAGAAATATTGCTTCTCTAAACTAATTACCTGTAATGACTGACTTAATATCAGTGATTTTATTTTGACAGACGCCACAATCACAGCTTAAAGTATCTGTCTTAAAAGTAGTATTTGGTCAGAAGGGTTGAATTAGTGACAGAATTAGAAGCACGCTGATTTCTAATGTATTAAGTTGAACTTCATCGGTGCTTTACACTCTGTGTGTCTTTCATTCACACACAAGGGCACAAACACTTTTGTCAAATGGCTTCAAAAAGAAACCTTTGAGGATGTGAATTATAAACCAGCTGTTATCAACCAATCTGATTAGTCTTCGCACTTGAGGGTCTGTGTCGAAAAATACATTTAATAAGCAAGTAATTAAACAGTTTTCAAGAAAAGCTGCACACACGCTTTCCACTCTCGCTCCCCCACAAGAATAAATATCCTTCACGCAGGTGTGACCAAATTCCCCAGATTTGTTTGTTATCCTCAAAAGTAACATCGGTGGAACAAGTGCCAGTGCTGCTGTCACCAGAGTGCATAATGTTGCCACATTGTCCTCTCAAGCATGGCATAATTATATCCAAATAAGTCATTAAGGTTGCATGCTCCCTTCAGTGTAGCAAGTAAATGAACAGATTTATTTCTCTTCACCAGTGCTGCTTTCATTGTGCATTTGTTCCTTTTTTTATGTTGACATTGATGAGCTTTGAATCCACAATAAAAAAAAGTTAAACAATTTTAAAATAAAATAGAAATAATAAAAAAGCAATAGCATGGGGGGGTAATAGCATTAGAATGACTGTGACCCCAAGATTTTTTTTGGAAAAAAAAAAAAGTCATATATTTATGCATCTCTTGTCCTCTCCATGAGCTTGCTTTGCCGCTATGTAACGATGTGTGTATAGTGTGGACAAGGCCGAAATATGAGATGAACCTCCTCCAAAACCTTGTAGTGTACTGCAGAAGGTCTCTGTACTTCTGCAAGGGTCTAAAGATTATCAAGAACCGTGTTTGGGTCAATAAACTCTTCCCTGTGAGCTTGGCAGAGCGGGCACAGGCAATGGAGGTGCCGCAGGGAAAACAGGGTGCTGATAGCAAGTATGAGTGAGGTTTAAGCTTCCACTAGCTGTTGAGTGTGGTGGATACTGCAGAAAGCCTATGTATATTGTGGCCACTGGTTTAGATTGTGGCTGAAACTTGAAAAAGCTATAACAGACAGGAAGTTGTTGGAGCACGGCAATAGTTGTAGCAATGGATAGAAAATTCAAGCAATGTGAGGATGCACTGCTGCCAAACATCAAGACTGGACAAATACGCAGTATTCAGGGCCACTGGGTTCTGTGATTGTCTTGCTAACAATGTTACAAACAGAAGCTGTTCATTGAGCTATATTTTTTAAATAACATCATTGTTGTGGAACATACTGCGCAAATGAACAGAGAAGAAGTGGATTATGGATTTGTTTGAAATGTTTGTAAGGACATTTAGATATTTTTTTGCCATGAAACTAGGTCACTGGTAGAATCCGCCATGAATTTAAACTGCAATCCTCTGTGAAGGAGCAAGCAGGTAGCTATAAACCTTTTAAGTGAGAGAAAGTATATGTATTTTTCATATAATCTTAAAATGTATCAAACATTATATATTCCCTATCAGGGTTGGGATGGTTACTTTAAAAATGTAATCCGATACAAATAGCATAATTACCTGTTAAAAATGTAGTCAGTAACGAATCCAGGTATCACAATATTAAAGCAACGTAACTTGAGTACTTTCTGTTACTGTTGGATTACCTCAACACCAGATATGCAAGAAGCAGAAAATAAAATGGGAAAACCAAATTTGTTTTGCATCAAAAATGTGTCCTCTCAGGCCATTTTTAAATACATGCCTTTGAACCATGAAATAATTGCCAGAAAATTCTATTTTCTTTTTTTTTTTTTTATATATCACACTGATGATGTAGAGGTCTCAAAAACTCATGTATCAAATATGAAACAAACACTTGGCTTTACAGGGTTAAGCAAATTCAGGCAGTATCCTATAGGCTTAGGCAGCACTAGGGCATCAGATATGGGGAAGCTAAATTATTACGACGATTTTATGGTCCTCCCGATGATGATTTCATAAATTTCATCATAAACCTACTTAACTGTGAGAATTTGACTCTAAGTAACAATTATTATTCTTCACACAAATGTACATTCTCTTCTCCAGAGATCACAGAGGATCACAGTCATACATCTCATATGAATGAAAAAGATGTGTGTATAAACTATGGCAAAGGTAGACAGAGGATCTCAACCCCATAATTATATTTTACCAACACATAGACATAATTCAGAGAGTTGAAAATGAAAATATTTATAGCTACTTAACGACAAGTATCTAGCAGACTGTAAGCCACACCATGTGAGTGTAAGCCCATAATGTTAGAGACAGGAGTCGCTGACCACACCAGGAAGGGCCGAGGCACTTTACACAGACATTGTCAAAGCAGCACAATCTGCTGGTTGTTGTCCAACACTTGAGGACATTCAATTTAACAAACTAATTGAGTTTACTAATTTTACACTGCAAAAAATAACGGGAAAGGTGTGCTCACGTAGTGATGTGACGTGTGATAGAAAAGCTTCCCCACTGATCTTAGGACAGTGACAGCCTAATAAGCCTACAGTGAATACCAATATGTGGGTACTGACTGGCAGATCTGCAACTGAACTGAGATCAGTGTGATACTGAAAGCAGTATAACTAGGTGAGGTGATTTATTTCTCTCAGTGATAATTTTGGGGGAGCTAAGCTTTCCCCTAGCCTCTGAATAGCACTGCCTATGCCTATAGGCCATTTTCACAGCTGGCAGGCAGAACCTGCGCTGTACTGTGATGTTGTTGCCCTTTCTGCTTTAAAGACCAAAAAATTGAGAAATTTCCACCCAGTGAAAGAATTGTTTTTACTTGAGGCCATGATAACAAATTGGCAACTTTAAGATTAGCTATAGTTTCACTCTAGACCTGAGGGATGTTGTAGTTTGTGCACCACACATGTGCATGCTAGTATATCATTCTTTATCTTAAAATGTATTTTAAAACTGTAATCCTCATTACGTTACTTTGTTACATGCAATCTATAACTGCCCAAGCCTGATCACTATATATTTCTGTTTGCACATAGCACATTTTCTTAACTATATTTATTTATATAATTTCTGTTGCTCCCTCCACCCATCATACTCTCAATAGTTTTATTACATTCATTTGTTGTGATAGTCTACTTTTACCCACATCTACAGATAACAGTTTCAATCATCTTTTGTACACCAGTATACACTATAATTTAGAAGTTTTCTTGATGTCTTTTTTTTTGCACAATGAATCAGTTTAGATTAATGTTGTAAAACGAACTGAAGCAGCACTTTCAGGGGTCACGCTGGTGATTAAATTGTTCAGCAATTAAATCAGCAGAATGATCAAGCTGGTGTGCAAAAAAAAACAACTGCTCACGGTGAAAAGTGTTCATTATCATGTATTACCTGTAATTAAAACAAATAACATAAGTATCTCCTTGAACCTACCTTCTCACAGTATACGGTATGAATTCCTTCTGCAGCGAGGTTGCTTATGATAGAGACAGGGTTGGAGAGAGAAAAAAGACCGATTGAATGAAGGAGCACAGGGACCATTATACCCTTCAGAGGGCTATAGAGGCCCCCTTGTAACGGATGTTGCAGACATTCTCTGCCGTCCTTTGCTCTCATGCCGTATGACAAATATCTGTTTACTCTTTCGATCATCCTAGGGGCTGAAATAATGCACTTTGCTGTCCCCAGTCCTCAAACGCTGGGCATGCATCAGCACTTATATCCTCTCAATACTTTTTTCCTTTTTTGTATCACTGCATTCTGTGCCTTTCTTGGTCCTTTCATGGGTTTTTCTTTGGAACTAATGATACTGTGAAAAGCTGATGCCAGAGTGTGATGGCCACAGTCGTGTGAAAAACAAGTCCAAAAAAGTGGCAAAAAGAACTTACTTCAATTATTCTCCCGCTCCCAGTCGTAGATTAAAATGATGATTTGGAAAACAGTCTTCACACTTTATGGTTTTGTTCTCTTGAGAGCTGTGTTTCATTGTGTTCTGTAACACTGTGGCTGCAATGCAAATCACAATCATATCCTCTCTTGTTACTTGTTATCTGTTCTTTAGATGAGGAATTGAAAAAGAGTCCTTGAGCTGGGCTTTTACACAACACTTGCACACACACACACACACACACACCATCTTCTACAGACTTTTTTCAGATACCAACACAACTCACGCACACACATTTTTGACGTATGGGTTGAGTATATTCTTTTAGAGATGTTGTTTACCCTTCATGCTTGACGCGATTTCAGAGTGGAGGTGGTACCGGCCTGTCCTTCTCTTGCGCATTACGTGTTTCAAAAGACGAGGCTTGAAAGCTGTGCAAGCGAATGTAGCACATACTCAATTATACAAGCACTGATGGAGTCGAGTGGTCATGCGTATGCTAGGCCTCTGTGAAGAATCGGACTGTTTATACATTTGTTCAGCTCTATCACCACCATCTCCTTCCTAAGGTATACAATATTAGCCATCAGCTGAAAGATAATAAGTAATAGACTACAAGAAAAACTACTATGGAGATAGTGATGTGATTGTAGTATACATCCTACTGTAGTCTCTAGTAAATATCAAATATATGGAATGCATTTGATAGCTTAATAGCAGCAATTACATGAAAACACATTTGGCCTATACAGCAGTACAAATTGGTATTTCCAACAAAACAAAATGTTAGTCAGCTCCCCTCTCAACAATATCCTGGAGGTGATTATTGGATGGCCTCGAGCGTTCTAATTCTATGTACCATTAGAGCTCTTTTTTGGCCATTTGGAAATGTGGAAGCTTCAACTTCCCCATGACAGTAAATAAAACATCCATGAAGTAGCTGTAAATAATGTAAACACACAGAGGGAAGCTGGAACCTGAACAGAAAGAGGAAATGGAGCGTTAAAAGGTGGCACATTTGTCAGGACTACCCTTGGGCTAAAAAGCCCATCCCTACCTGCCCCCACTTTGTACACATCTTAACAGTCTCCACAGAGCATCAGTGGAAGTGCTCTGCAACATGTTTTAAACACAGATAGGTAACATACCTTGAATATTAAGAATTAATAACTTTTCTTTGAATGTTGAGTATTTAAAAGCCTTTCTTGCATTTGCATTTTTTTCTACTCAAAGTTTACTGCACGTGTGTTTTAGAAATTCATCTTTTCAGTCTGTAGCTTTCACATGCAATGAAGATATATTTTTAGAATGGAAATCTGAAATATCAACATAGATTCAATAACATATTTTGAGTTAATTAGCAAATGTCATATTTGTTTGAAGGTAAGTGCAGAATAAATAAATTGTTGCATTTATTCCCAGCTATCCTTGTTAACAAAACTTAACATATCAATAAAGGCTTTTTCTCCTTCCAATTGTTAGAAAATGCACTTACAGGCTGTGTACTGCAGATTATTTGCCTTTTGGTTAAATACATGGACTTTACATAGAGTACATCACATGTATATATGTATATATTTTATAAGGAGTACGATCTA